CTAACTCCTAGGGTTTTGTTTTTCTTCTATTTTTGTGGCTTTGCCCTCCTTTTCCTTCCTTTCATTTCTTCTAATGCATCAGTTTCACTCCCCATCGCTTCATCCTAATGACGCTGGGAAATGGGACTCAGCACTCCTTCATGGAGACCCTCACCCTCATCTGTACTTCTATAAATACAGGTAAATGTGAGTAAGTTAAATTTCCCAATAAGCCCTTATCTTTTTTACCCACAGATTTCTTGTGATTAGTTTATGATAATTAATAATGAGCCAGCTGATAAATTTGTCTACCCCAGTATCCACTTCTTTAAATTGCAGGTAACTTGAGGAGAACTGACTCTGTTTGACAGGCTCCATACCTGTCAGCTAGGACTCCATCTTTTCTGGTTGCCCAGGCTGCTCACTGATCAATATTCTCCCTTGCTGGGACCACTAGCTACCCTAAAGTGTTTCCTTTGGTCCTGGACTACAATTGTCTCCTTTTCCTTTGAACATCATTGCTCTTCCTGTGATTTTTATATCCACTATAATGTAGAAACTTTTGAAGATTGGTCAAAGCACATTAACCTTAAATGCATCATAATTAGCTCACTCCCTTTGGAATGGCTCTATAAAGTGTATCTAGTCTCATCTCTGGAAACTTTACCTGTCAGAAGAGATTTCGAGTTGACCTTGACCACTGGTTGTTGCTTCAGCTACATCATCTGTTCTTTGTTATTTCTGCTTCTCTTTGTGTTGACATCACCATCCACTGCTTCTGAGGTTAATTTTTTCCATTTCTAGTTGATTCTGCTTTCTGAACTCTAATCTCCCTCTTTGTCTGTTTTCTTTAATGCAATTTCTTCTTCATAGCTTGCTCACTTCTTTAACTATTTTAGTTTGTATCCCAGCAGCAAAATTTACTGTTCTCTCTCATTTCCTCAAATGGCTAGTTGATTGGCCTCACCTTTATTTTAAAGGGTCCAATCATGGTGCTAACCCATTTCCTTATTCTGGCAGTGAGTGAAATTTAATTGGAAAAAAACAAACAAGCAAAACAATGTTCCAGAGATACATTCTCTATTTCTTTTTTTATAATTTTCAGTACTTGGAAATGTTAAAGTTTGCTTTTAAGTAATTTTTTTTATTTTTATTTTTTAGAAAATTTTCTAGGTCCAATCTGTAAATTCTTTATTTCAGCCATTAATCATTCTATTACCATTTACAAATTCAACAAGTAATTATTACATTTCTACCATCTGCCCAACACTATTCTAAGCCCTGAAGACAGATGCCAGCTCCCTGTCCTCAAAGAATTCGCTCTGTTGGGGAGGCGGGGCGTGTAATGTAGTCCATAGGATGGAGGCACTGCTAGAGGAAACTGGAATGGAGGGGTAGGGAATTCAGAATGGAGGTGCAATTTCAAATAAGGTGGTCAGAGAAGAGCTCCCCAGGAAGAGGCCCTTTGAGCATTTCTTGAAGGAAAAGCTGGAGCAAGTACTGGGGATTCATCTAGAAGAGTATCTGGGCAGTGAGAGCAGGTAAAAAGACTGAGGAAGTGAGGAAGTGGTGCATTTATGGAACATCAAAGAAGCCACTGTGGCTGGAGAGGAAGGAGTAAATTAGAGAGGTTCCTGGGAGCCAGATGGCAGGAGGCCTCTTTGGTCATTGCAAGGACTTTGGCTTTGGTTCTGAGATGAAGAGCCACTGGACAGTTTTGAGCAGTCAAATGAGGTGATATGGCTTAATGCTTTGATGTATTGTCACATTATTTCAAGAGGATTTATGACTGAGGACAAAGTAGCCTTTCTTTTAGGTCTTGCTGTAAATATTTTGTGCTCAATTAAGAGTATGAACTAGAACCCTGGCTGGTAGTGCTCAGTGGTTAGAGCATAGTCCCATGCAATGAAGGGTCATGGGTGTGATTTCCCAGGGTCAGGGCACATACCCAGGTTGCAGGTTTGATCCCCAGCCTGGGCGCATGCATGAGGCAACTGACTGATGTTTCTCTCTCACATCGATGTTTCTCTCTCTCCCTCTTCCTCCCTCTCTCTCTAGAATCAATGAAGAAACATATCCTCGAGTGAGGATATTAAAAAAAGTATGAACTACATATTAATGACCCAATGTTTTCTCTTTCTTCTCACCCCCAATCTGTTCTGTAGATGCAAAGACCATTATTATTATTGTTAATGCAGTTATTTAATAAGCTTTGTCTCTAGGTAACCAAAAGCTATCAATAATTTTAAGCTTTCTGCAAAGCCTCACAATCCCGATTTAATATATTTATTTACAACTTCAGTACTTCTTCCAAAAAGATGAGATGAGACTTAAAATGAAAGACACTTAACTTTAAAGGCTATGAAAATAAATCTACAAACTAAATAACTTATATAGCAAGAAGAAGCAAATGTAGCACCTCCATTTAAGTGACTGTTGCCAGGTGATTTACCAAGCACTTTACCCATGAACTTGGTGGTAGCAAAGCTAAAAAGGAAAACAACATTACATAATTATCCTGTGTGAGTTGTGCGACCATGGCATTAGTGATTTGCCTTCTTATGCTAATACAGATTACCGTGTGAAATATGTTTTTTACATACTCTTTCTTCCCCAAACAGTGATTACTTTCTAAAATAAGTTGCTCAGTATACATTTCTTATTTCTACTATGCAACAATATGTTTATTTAGGGAGTGTCATTTTCACTGAAAAAAATCAACTTTCTACTAAAATTGTTAATTCAATAGCAATAGACATTAAAATCAAGATTTTTTTAAGTTTTTAAAATTGTCTCTGTCACTAGATCCCAGCTACCTAGGGGAGAAATTGTCTGTTCATCTTTGTATCCTTGGTATCCCCTAAACAAATAATTCTTCAAGCCTTTGCTCATAACTCCAAAATCTAAAAAACTCTGAAAACAGAAAATTTTATCAAAAGTTGGGTACCAGAACTCATTCAGAGGCAACACCTGAACTGAGTAGGACTATTTAAGCATCTTCATTTGTCCCACATTTTGTGAATATGCACTCCTATGTTTTGCCACAGATGTGGTAATAGGTATAATTAGGGGTGCTCTGCAGACTCTACGGGTGTTAGATAACATTTGGTGTATGCATCCTATTACTTTTTAAAATTTGAAAGCATAAATTCCAAAACACATTGTGCCCTAAAGGTTTTAAAAAAGGGATTGTGGGCCTGTAATAGCCAAGCCCTAGAATACTGTAGATACCTAGTAAATGTGAGTTGGAGTGAAGTCTGCCTAAAATGAGGTACATAGAAATGGGAAATTTCTCTGCAGCCAGGCTTTAGGACCTTGAGGCCTCAGGAATAAAATAGATGATCCAGCCTGGCTGGCATGACTCAGCGGTTGAGCATCGACCTAGGATCCAGGAGATCGCAGTTTGATGCCAGGTCAGGGCACATGCCCAGGTTTCAAACTCAGTTCCCAGCAGGGGGCATACAGGAGGCAGCCAATTAATGACTCTCATCATTGATGTTTCTCTCTCTCTTTTTCCCTCTCCCTTCTTCTCTCTGAAATCAATAAAAATTAAAATAAAATAGGTGATTCAGTCCTTAGAAGCAGTATATCAAGCCCGGCCGGGCGTGGCTCAGCGGTTGATCGCCTACCTAGGATCCAGGCGATCGGGCGTTCGATTCCCGGTCAGGGCACATGCCTGGGTTGCGGGCTTGATCAATGACTCTCTCATCATTGATGTGTCTATCTCTTTCTCTCCCTCTCCTTTCCTCTCTCTGAAATCAATAAAGATATATTAAAAAAAAAAAAAGAAGCAGCAGCAGTGCATCAAAATATTTCCTGAATTGTTTTCTTAGAGTAGTTGTAATTGGTCTCTAGTCATAATAAATCTGAACAGCGTGAGTGCTATTCTGTCAGTTAGTGTCCTAGGAAGTGCATGTGATTTTGTGTGTTTTTTATGTTCTCTGTCTCTTTGCCTGTCACTTTGTATTTTGTTTGTTTGTTTGTTTTTTTAAAATATCTTTATTGATTTCAGAGAGAGGAAGGAAGAGGGAGAGAGAGAGATAGAAACATCAATGATGAGAGAGTCATTGATCGGCTGCCTCCTGCACGCCCCCAACTGGGGATAGAGCCCGCAACCCGGGCATGTGCCCTGACAGGGAATCGAACCCCGATTGCCTGGATCCTAGGTCGACGCTCAACCGCTGAGCCACGCCCAGCCGGGCTGTATTGTTTTATTTTTCTTCATCATTTTTTAAGGTGTCACATCAGCTTTTTTTATACTGGTGATTTAATTGCAAAAGCACACATAAACAGTTTGAAAAGTGTGAGAAGAAATTCATGAGTCACATGGGGAAGCAACAACAAAGCTGGCATTCAGTCTGGAATGCATCAGCTGTGCGACACAATCACACTGCCAAGGGATCAAATGGTGTGTCCTGAAATTGAGTGAAAAATGAATTTGATACAAGAAACATTTGTTTCATACTGAAGATACAGGGGGAAATATCAAGATGAATTAAATATCAGCTTCACCCTCACAAAGCTTAAGTTTTATAGGGACAACAAGACATGTATATAAAATAAGTTAAATACACAGCAGAACAGACCAGAGAAGACCAGTGGAGAAATGCTGCAGCTCCGGAGATCAGGATAGGAGGTGGGGCTGCACTGGCCTGTAAAGATGAATGAAAATTAGGTTAATGTAGAGGATGGACTTAGTGGAGTAAAGACGAGCAAGATAGACTCCAGCTCTCAAAAATCTCTGTTTAGCAATAGAGACACAAACAAATTATTGTGAAAAGTGGCAAATGTAATAGGACCCATAGAGGAGAATAATAATTGATCCTTGGGAAAGGTGGCAGGAGTTGACTTTCAGGCTAGATGCTGAAGAACACAGGAGCTTGCCTAGAAGAGTAGGAGTGGTCTAGGAAAGCCTTCTAGGAAAGCCTTCTGGGCAGAGTAAATGATAAGATGCTAATTTGTGCTCTCAACAACAGGACAGCTATACCAAGGTGACTTTTTACATTGTAATGTCATTGCAGGTGAATCAGTCATGCCTTCTGGAACAACACAGAGTGGGAAAGGTTTGCAAAACAAGACTCAGTTTAGAACCATTGCACCAAAAATTATGCCCAAAGTCCTAACTTCCAGAGTGTCGCCGGGCCCTTTGCCATCACTCTCTGATCAGGTGAATCCAGGTCCCACCATCGGCTCCACACCACTGGGGGTGCCTGCCCAGAATTATGCTCTGATGCAGGTTGCTGGCCAGAAGGGGACATTTTCTCTCGTGGCATTGCCTCATGTTGCCTCAGCTCAGCCAGTCCAGAAACCCAGACTGCCCCTGCCTGAAAACCTTAAACTGCCGATTCCTCGATACCAACCCCCGAGAAAAAACAAAGGATCAACAAAGAACCCCATTCTGATCTCCTCTGAAAGTGGCTTTAGCAAGCCTCCTGCCCAGACCCAAACGTCTCCTTCCCTACCTGACCGTTCTGAACCCCTGCCCCAGCCCAGTCCGTCCAAGCCAGTACTGTCACTAGACCGAGCCCCAGCCGGCGTCAGCATGGCTGCATTGACCGGTGGAGATTGCCAAGGAGACTCTCGACCTCCAGTGACCAGTGACCATGGAAATCCCAAACTTCCTGACACCCCAACATCATCCACACCAGAGGAGCCCTCTGCCAGGCAGGGTCTCATGAAGATTTCAGGGAAAGAAAACTTTGCAAGCAAAGAAACATCCAGTAAACCTGCTGTTGCCAGTGAAAAACATAAAGAACAAGATGATCTTGCAAAAGGCACGATCAGGTCATCACCAGCCATTTTGGGCAGTGCACTTCAGTTAATCCCTTCAGTCCCCAAAGGTAAACTGCCAATCTTACCCTACTTAAGGGTGAAAACAACAGAGATGTATAAAAGTGAGTCAGATGTTAACATTGTAGACTTTTCTCTGCCTGGGCTCAGGGTCAACTGCTATGAGACATCCACCATCCCTGAAGGCTTTGATGCAGCCACCAAAAGGGCCGATAAGGTAACTGGTCCACAGGTTTCAAAGCACAGTCCCTGTAAAAGTGCCTTTTGTCCAGCTACCAAACTGGATCTCAACCACAAAACAAAACTAAATGGCGGGGCAGCAAAGAGAAAAGGACGAAAACTAAAGGTACCAGATGAAATCTTGTCGTTTCAGGGGAAAAGAAGGAAATGTAAAAGAATAAAAAATGATTCCCAACAATCCAGAGATCAAAAACCTGGGGCTATGAAAAAATATCGTAACATTATGCCTAAACCTGTCATTGCCACACCCACTGTGGCTCCCTTGGCTTCTCCTGCAGCTGTATTACAGTCCCAAAGGCCCAGCTGCCTAGGACAAGACAGTTTGTTCAATAATTCATTCACTCCTAAATACCTCAGCTGTAAGCAGGACAACAGCCCTTCCCCTAAGCCCAGTTCTGCATTCAGAAATGGATTCTCTGGCCTTAAGAAGCCTTGGCACCGATGTCCTGTCTGTAACCACCACTTCCAGTTCAAGCAGCACCTTCGAGATCACATGAACACACACACTAACAGACGGCCTTACAGTTGTCGAATTTGTCGCAAGGCATACGTACGTCCTGGCAGCCTGAGCGCACACATGAAACTTCATCATGGTGAGAGCCGGCTGAAGAAACTTGTGTGCTGTGAATTTTGTGCAAAAGTGTTTGGTCACGTCAGAATCTATTTCGGCCATCTGAAAGAAGTACATAGGGTTGTCATCAGCACCGAGCCCTCCCCCAGTGAACTGCAGCCAGGGGACCTGCCAAAGAACAGGGACAGGGACATGAATGTGCAGAGGTGAGTGCCGATGGAATGGAAGCCTGGCGGGAAAGTCTGTTTGGATTTGGGGAATAGGCTAAGATTTCATATTCAGAAAGATAAATTCGTAAAAACATCTCTCAGATTAAGATTTTATGAAGCTAGTTCTATGAAGAATAATCTCATTTCTCGTTGGTTTCTGATCAGCCATGATTTATAATTATGCTAACCTCTGGCCACAAATGCCTATTTGAGGTATGCTGGGGACAATCGGGTGACAGATTTTTTTTTTTAACTTTGCTTTTTAAAAAAAAAAATTGATTTGAGAGAGAGAGAGGGAAATATCAGTGCAAGAGAAAAACATTGATCTGTTGCCCCCCGAACTCACCCCCACCGGGGTTTGCAACCACAACCTGGGTATGTGCCCCGACCGGGAATTGAACCCACCACCTTTTGGTGTACGGGATGATGCTCCCACCGACTGAGCCACACCGGCCAAGTTGTGACAGATTATTTTTGTATCTGACATATGAAAAATTAAATATTGTGTATAGTTCCTGTTACTCTTTACAAATAAATTTTCCAAAATGGTGTTCACAAAATTTATACCTAAACAATTTCATTTGCCCCTTAATATCACATAACCTGTGGTGGCACCTCGGTGTGACCCGACCCAAAGGTGTTTAGACCTTACGTTTGCCCTATTTTTCCCTTCAGCCCAGATTAACTTTTCCCTGTATCATTCCCACTTGCAGATACTGCTTCTTAGCATTATAAACAAACAAGCTAAGTCACTCGTAAGCCCGGCAGTCAGGGCTTTCTTAGAGCAGTAAGTAACCCAGGGAAATGCCCTCATTTCGTCTACTGCCCACTAGATGACAGAGGGAGTTACACTAAACTGAATCCTCGCTAACCCCATGGAAGGTAAACATTTTCCCATACTAGATTTTCTGCCCCTTGTCATTGTTTTCTTGTAGTCCATTTTGATTTTTAGGTAAAATGTTAAACTGTGTTTGATGTTCAAGGTTAGAGATGGCAGCAGTGGTGGTATGGGTCAGTTACTGTCAACCAGACCCAGCGTGTTTCTAGAACGCTTCGCTTGCTGCCACCTGACTCTCACACTGATGATACCTCTTCCTGTAGTCACCAAAGACCAGTTAGCTCACCTGGGGGCGAAGTGTGTGGCCCCAAGCAGGAGCACCATTCGGGGCGCTGTGGCCTCTACTGAAGGCCTTCGCATGCTCTCTCTGCCCACCCTTTGTGCCTCTCATCAGTGGGTGTGTTTTAGAACTTTGAAAAGCTCTTAACCACCTGTTTTTCTATGTAATTTTATATAGAATATTTTCCCCTTTTACAGGGAAAACAAGTCAAGCCTGGAAGAAGACCTTCTAAACCAGGCAGACGAAGTCAAATTACAAATCAAATGTGGCCGCTGTCAGATCACTACCCAGTCCTTTGCTGAAATAAAGTTTCATTTACTTTATGTTCATGGAGAGGAAATTCAGGGCAGGCTGCAAGAGGAGATCTCCCCAGGAAGCCAGATAGCTTGTGAAGAACTGGTTCAACATGCCGCTCCTTCCTGGAAACAGCATCCTGAAAGAAGAAAACTGCTGCAGCACTGTCCCTCTGATGAGGTACATGCAGTTCCTACATTGAAAGGACAAGCCTACCTTCATCATCAGAATGACATGGAAAGGCTCACAAAACATGAAGGAGCCCAGCTGGGGCCCAGCGAGCCAGAAGTCCCCCAGGGCCCCGCGTGTCCCAGCCCACACTTAGTTCTCCCTCAGCCCCTTTCTGGCTTTAACTGCATCCTTTGTGCACAGACTCTTGGAAGGAAAGAAGAACTCCTCCTGCACTGGGAGCAAGGGCACAACTGTGAGGACCCTCCCAAGCTCTGGAGGATTCTACATGCACCCTCTCACAGGGAGTGATTGAACTTCCCAGCAGAACTGAAAAATGAAAGACGGGCGGGGGGAGCTTAAACAGAGCTTTGTATCACCTTTCTCTTGAAGTTCTTGTGTTATGGTGGTGCTTAATTATAAAAATCAAACAAATTAGGATCAGCATTAATAAGTGGGAGTGATTTTGTACATAATTTTATTTTCTTATGAAATATATGCCCTTTATGTATATTTTCTAACCATATGCAGTTTTATTTTAAAATTCTGTGTACTAACTGTTAATATCTTAGACTTTATTTCAGAATAAATAAAAAGATCAAAATTTGGAGATTGAAATATAAAGGATTTTAGACTGTTCTTCAAATGTAGTTGTCAGTAAAAATGTGTGTTCGAGTGTATGTATGTATCCTTTTGTTCAAATATTTTCTGTTTAAGTAAGTTGACAAATGTGAAAATTTTCAGGTGACAAAATTATTTCTGTCTCAATATTGCTATTTATCAATTCTCTTGTTTATTTGAAAATTCTATAGAGCAATGTACTTAATAAGGTTCTCATCTAACAATTTAAAATCCATATTTTCAGGCCCTAGCTGATTTCGCTCAGTGGTTAGAGCATTGGCCCTCAGACTGAAGGGTCCCAGGCTTGATGCCCAGCCCCAGTCGGGGATCGTGCAGGAGGCAACCAGTCTGAGGTTTCTCTCTCTCTCCCTCTCTCACTCTCTTTCTTTTTCTCTCTCTCCCCCTTCCACTGTCTCTGAAAAAAGCAATGGAAAAAATATCCTCTGATGAGGATTAAAAAAATAAGTAAATAAAAAAAATCCGTATTTTCAGGACTCAGATTTTTTAAAATTCTCTTTTCCTAAATGTACATTGCCTTGAAGATGAGATTTTGGTAAGTTTTATAGCTGTAGTGTTTTATATCAAAGTAATCAAAAAAATTTTAGTAACCGGCTAATAAAAAAAATTACTTTTTTGGTAATAAGTCATTTTCAGTTTAGAAAATTTACAACCTAGAAAGTGAACCTAGATAGTTCAGTCCAGATGTCTAGGTGTTTCGGCTGCTTTCTCTCCCTCCCAAGTAACCTCAGAGGGTTGTCACTAAATGATCAATTTCAGACACAACTGTGCCGTTCAAGCCCAAGCTCTCTTTAAAAGTTAAGAGTAAATGATTGCCTCTTAAATTCCTGGCAAATTACCTCAAATCAGAAAAGTTGCCATTTGAAGTATCTGGCCATCCTGGCTGCAAAATTATTTTTTTGAAATGAGGGAGTTTGAGCCCTCATCCTACTAAAATTTCAGCCTTTAGATGAAAGCACTGTGTATGTGACGAGCCCTGTTTGCCTGAAGCTTGGCCCGGGCATCAGCATAACATTTTTCTGTGCTAAAGAAAGATTGAAACAGAGGAAGAACTAAATTCTAATTGATAGGCTAATGGATCTTAAGTCATCTTTTTAATGTCTAATTTTAAAAGCAAGTGTTTATAGATACACTTTTGCTCAAATAGTATGGAAAGGGAAAATTCAGTCCTTGGCTTTTCGCAAATAGTGTTTAAAATTTGAGGCTAAGAGGGTAGGGATGGAAATCTCTGAAAATATTGCTGTGGTTTATCAACTGATTACACTCTACACAGTTTCAGAGAGATCATATTAGACATCCACTGTTTGATATTTTTAGAACTGTGTTATTCATGAAACTGCTTTACCACTTAGTACAATACCTAGTTTGTTTTGGGAAGATTAGTCTTAGAGACACTGCAAAATGAGATCTACCTAGAATACTATTTGAATTGAAACTGTAAAGTAATTCATAGACTATTCAGTCCCCAGAGACTAAGCAGTATTTCCGAAATACCAGTTGGCCAAGGGAAGAAGAGTGGGTCTGGAGTATGTATGAAGGTGAAGGTGTGGGTGCAAAAGCTAAGTCTGAAGTCCCCAAGATCGTAGAGACACCCACTTGCAGCCATTTTTTATCCACGTAGTCTCACAGCAAGGGCAAGACAGTGAGGGCGTAGACAATCTTTGGAAAGAAGTAGAGTGTTAGGAATGCAACAGAGAACAGAAGTCGGGAGATGTGATTGGTGTATGGTTAAGTCCTCTGGCTGCATCCCCTTCTCAACGTGGCACTGACCTATGAGGGTGGGGCGAGGGGTGGCACTCATCCTTAAGAAAACTCTTTGTAAAAGAGAAGGAAACTTGCAAAGTAGAGGGGCCACACTGGATGCCTGTGTGTATGGATTCATTCAGAATAAAATGTTTGTCTTAGGTGTCAACTTCTAGAAACACCCCCCTGTGTTACAATGGGAACAGCCCCAATGTCAACTAAGATAAGGAGTTTCTGGCCCTTATGAGTAGCACCGCGTGAGTGAGAATGGTGGGAATAGGTAAGAAGAGAAGGGAGTAATTCAGCTACAGTAACTGGAAACAGCTCAGATGGATAAGCCAGCGGGTCGTCATTGCTGTGCCTTCCTCGGGGCAGACGTGTCGTTGGTGCAGTAGTAACTTGCCTACTGCACCCAGAGGCCGTGAGCAAGATGCAGAAGTGCCGTATGCTTTCTCCGTGACACCTTGAGAGAATCACCTTCCTAAGGCTCCAGTCTCTTGTCTGTGAAATGAGTGTGATGACAATACCTCAAGGTGTTGTGAAGAGTGACTCAACACAAAGGAAATGACTGCCACAAGTGGGCCACGTAGTGACTAGTGACTAATGGCCAATATTTATTGTGCTTTTGGTCAGACTGGAAAGAAGAGGTCTGCTATACCTTAGAAAGTAATTTAAAGCAGCTCAGGTGGCTTTCACTGGTGTGGTGAAAACCACCACTAAATCAAACCCAAAATGGGAAAGGAAAACTCGTATCAACATCATCGTCATTGGACATGTAGATTCCAACAAGTCTGCCACTACTAGCAATCTGATCTACAAAATATGGTGGGATCCACAAAAGAACCATCAAAAAACTTGTGAAGGAGGTTGCTGAGATGGGGAAGGGCTCCTTCAAGTATGCCTGGGTCTTGGATAAACTGAAAACTGGACATGAGCATGTTATCTCCCTGTGGAAATTTGAGACCAGCAAATATTATGTAACCATCACTGATGCCCCAAGACAGAGACTTCATCAAAAACACGGTTACAGGCACAACTCGGGCTGACTGTGCTGTCCTGCTTATTGCTGCTGGTGTTGGTGAATTTGAAGCAGGTATCTCCAAGAATGGGCAGACCTGTGAACATGCCTTCCTGGCTTACACACTCGGTGTGAAACAACTGTTGGTGTTAACAAAATGGAATCCACTGAGCTGCCCTACAGCCAGAAATATGAGGAAATTGTTAAAGAAGTCAGCACCTACATTAAGAAAATTGGCTACCACCTTGACACAGTAACATTTGTGCCAATTTCCTGTTGGAATGGCTACAACATGCTGGAGCCAAGTGCTAACATGCCTTGGTTCAAGGAATGGAAAGTCACACATAAAGATGGCATTGCCAGTGGAACCACACTGCTTGAAGCTCTGAATTCATCCTACCACCCACTCGTCCTACTGACGAGCCCCTGCTTCTGCCCCTCCAGGATGTCTACAAAATTGGTGATATTGGTACTGTCCCTGTGGGCTGAGTGGAGACTGGTGTTCTCAAGCCCGGCGTGGTGGTCACCTTTGCTCCAGTCAACATTACAGCTGAAGTAAAGTCTGTTGAAATGCACCATGAAGCTCTGAGTGAAGCTCCTTCTGGGCTTCAATGTCAAGAACGTGTCTTTCAAAAGATGTTCGTCGTGGCAGTGTGGCTGGTGGCAGCAAAAATGACCCACCAATGGAAGCAGCTGGCTGCACAGCTCAGGGGATTATCCTGAACCATCCAGGCCAGATCAGTGCTGGATACACACCAGTGCTGGATTGTCACACAGCTCACAGTGTTTGCAAATTTGCTGAGCTGAAGGAGAAGATTGACCGTTGTTCTGGGGAAAAGCTGGAAGAGGGCCCAAAGTTTCTGAAATGTGGTGATGCTGCCATCGTCAGTATGGTTCCTGGCAAGCCCATGAGTGTCGAAAGCTTCTCTGCCTTCCTCTGGGCCATTTTGCTGTTCGTGACATGAGACAGAACATTGCTGTGGGTGTCATCAAAGTAGTAGACAAGAAGGCAAGTGGAGCTGGCAAAGTCACCAAGTCTGCCCAGAAAGCTCAGAAGGCTAAATGAATACTATTCCCAGTACCTGCCACCCAGTTTTAGTCAGTGGTAGAAGAATGTCTCAGAACTGTTTGTCTCAATGGGCCATTTAAGTTTAAGAGTAAAAGACTAGTTAATGATTATAATGCATCATAAAACCTTCAGAAGGAAAGGAGAATATTTTGTGGACCATTTGTTTTTTTTGTCTGTGGCAGTTTTTAAGATATTAGTTTTAAAATCAGTACTTTTTTAATGGAAACAACCAAAAATCTGTCACTGAATTTTGAGATCCATTAAAACAAAGTTTAGCCCAGCCTGGCGTGGCTCAGTGGTTGAGCATCAACCTAGAATCCAGGAGATCGCGGTTCGATTCCCAGTCAGGGCACATGCCCAGGCTACGGGCTCGATCCCCAGCAGGCAGCCGATCAATGAGGACTCTCTAAACATTGATGTTCCAACTCTCTCTCTCCCCTTCTCCCTTCCTCTCTGAAATCAATAAAGATATAGTTTAAAAAAATAAAAATAAAATAAAACAAAGTTCAATGAGAAAAATAAAAAATAAAACAGTTCAGGTGGGCCGCAAGTCCAGAACTCAAGGATGAAAACTAGAACCACAGATACTTGCATCTTTGTATAAAAAGTGTACTTTAATTCTTAAGTAATCAAACAGATTTGGATTGTATGGAGGTTTGGTAAGTGTCTAATCAATATAGAAAGCAAATTTCATTCAATTATGTCCATTCCAGGCTCCACTTTGGGTCTGGTGTTCCTGCAGCTGCCCCTCTTTGCCTCCCCGTGGCGCTGACCTAGCTCATCACAGTGTCCTGAACAATGACCAGGGTCTTTTCTGCTTTCCACAGTAGATCATAAGCCTCTTAAGGACACATACGTAGCCCCAAAGGGTCCAGCACCTGATATGGAATAGTGCTCAATAAATATTTGT